CATTCGTATTTTGGGTTTTGTTGCTGTTGCTGTTGTTGATTGTTAGTTGGTTTGTAATCCCCTGCCATGTAGCCCAGGTTGACTTTAAAATCATGATCCGTCTATCTCAGGCTCCCAAGTTCTGGTATTATAGAACCACACACCCAGCAAAGAATACTTTCTTACATTAGTACTCATGGTGAGATATAATAAACAGGTGCTTAAAAAGAAAAGATGGTAAAAGAGAGATAGGACTGTAAGATGAAATATAGCACACTCACCTATATATGCAGTGTATATGTATACACACACATATGAGCTGAGTATATTTTCTAGCTCTGCCACTTATGGAACTCAAGTTCCTTTACAATTTTTTCAATTTTACTGCTATTTTGTATGTAAATGCCTGCTTGTCTGTGTGTAGAGTATCCACAGTGGTGAGAAGAGGGATCAGATCCCCTGGAACTGTGGATGTGGGGGCTGGGAACTGAGCCATGGCCACCTGCAGGAGCAACAAGTGCTCATAGTCACTGAGCCATTTATCATGAGATGCGCAACTTCCACATCCTTACTTGAAAGAAAATTTCTCATCTTTCAGTCCTACTTTCTCCCTTCCCACAGACAGGAACACAGGGTAAGGACAACACACTAGGGAAGGGCAAACAAGAAAGACTGAAGGATCCTGGGACTTTGAATAACTTCACAGAGAGGAACTCTACTGGCAGCCTAAAGCTGTTGGGTTTGGGATGGAAGCCAAGAAAACTCATTTCAGATACAGAAGCTTAAAATGAAAGCTTTATTTTTTGAGCTCAGGAAGGTGGCCAGTTCAGGATCTGAACCATGTCCTTGAGGGAAAGCTGTATTGTATATTTAAAGGGTGAAAGCCAGAGAGCAAGGAGGAGCAAGATGGGCTGTAGCATTGTCCAACCATATTTTGACATAGGGTTGAGCAAGGAAGGGAGTTTCCATCAATCAGATAGGAGTAGGTTCCTGGGCCTGGGAACATGAACTTGTTTGACCCTGCCAGCAAGATGGAGAAGTTGTCCTTGAGATGCCTGGACTCAGACAACTGTTTCTTTATAACAGAAGCTGTTCAGCTATTGGGAAGTCCCAAGTTCCCCTAGGACCTGGGACCTTGAACTTAATTTCTCCATGATTAAACAGAGTCTGAAAACAAAATGGCAGAACTTAGATTGTTTCCTTTGCTCTTTCCCAGCAATAGCTATTTGAGATACTGTGTCTTAAAACACAGCAGATTTAAAATATTTTAATGTAATATTTAGGCATTTGGAGCACAATTATTTTTATGCACAAGTATATTGTGTATGACTCTGTAGCATCCATAGCAGACACTTATAGCTTCCAGTATTTCATGTGCTAATAAGTGTTATTCACATCTGCATTAAGAAAGTTACCTATACTCTAACAGTGCAGTGGTTTCAGTGTCAATAATTCTAGCTTATCTCTCCACAGTAGTTCCTGAAGTATTATGTCTGTCCTAAAGCAGGCCACTAAATTCTCAGGCATATAATTAATCTGAAAAATATAAGAAAATACCATGGAGTCCTTTTCTTTGTTTATCCCCAAGTCTGAACTTTCAGATGATCTTCATATATGTTTTAGGAAGCTTCTACTCTATTAGGCTTCCATGCTGCCAGTTCAAATGGCTGACTTTTAGCTGTCCCTCACCATCTTCCCTGCATTGTTTCTTCCACCCTCCTCTTCCCTGATTGATCCTCCCATTCTAGAACCTTCCTCTACATGACTTTATATTCTACTTTAGCTTCTTAGGAAATGAACCCACCCAGCCCCTAGTTCCTTACTCTATACCCAACCTCTGTGATTCTACAGATTGTAGCTTGCTTATTACTGATGTAACAGCCAATATCTACATATTAACTAATACATAACTTATTTGTCTTTCTGGGTCTAAATTACATCATTCGGATTGATTTTTTAAAGATTTATTTATTTATACATATAAGCACTCATTTGCATGTATGCCTGTATGACATAAGAGAGCATCAGATCCCATTATAGATGGTTGTGAGCTACCATGTGGTTGCTGGGAATTGAACTGAGGACCTCTGGAAGAGAGAGCAGTCAGTGCTCTTAACCACTGGACTATCTCTCTAGCCCCAGGGTTGATTTTTTTTTTAAGAGAACTTTATTTTTTTAAACAGCTGAGTAATCTATTGTATAAATGTACTGCATTTTCTTTATTCATTCATCTATTGACAGACATCTAGGTTGTTTTCAGTTTCACGCTGTTAGAAGAAAGCATCGATGAGCATGACTGAATAGATCTGGTATCCTTTGGGTATATGCAAAGAGTGGTAAAGCTAGATCTTGAGGTAGATTGATTCCCATCTTCCTGAGGAACCACCACAGTGATTTCCATACAAGTTTGCATTTCCACCAGCAATGGCCAAGTCTTCCCTCTACTCTTCCTCAACAGCATGGGATGTTAGTTGTTTTATTGATCTTAGTCATTCTGACAGTGGTAAGATGAAATCTCAAAAGTAGTTTTGATTTTCATTTTTCTGATGACTAAAGATGTTGAACATTTCTTTGGGTGCTTCTCAACCATTTGAGTTTGCTCTTCTGTGAATCCTCTGTTTAGATCTGGACCCCATTTTTAAATATGTTTTTTTTTATATGTAGTTTTTGAGTTCTTTATATATTTTGGATATTAGCCCTCTTAAGGATGTGTAGTTGGTAAAAATCTTTTCCCATCCTGTAGGCTACAACTTTGTCCAAATTATGGTGTCCTATGCTGTGCAGAAGCTTTTCAGATTCATGAGGTTCCATTTATTGTTGATCTTACTGCCCATGCTAACAGTGTTCTGCTGAGAAAGTCTTTTCCTATGTCAGTGAACTCAAGGCTATTCATCACTTTCTCTTCTCTTTCCCTATTAGGTTCAGTGTGTCTGACTTTATGTTGAGGTCTTTGATCCATTTGGAGTTGAGTTTTGTTTAGGGTGATAAGTATAGATCTATTTAGATTCTTCTACATGAAGCCATCCAGTTTAATCAGCATCATTCATTGAAGATGCTTTTTCAGTATATTTTTATTATTTTATATTTATTTTTCAGTATTTATTTCTTGATTCTTTATAAAAAAATTAGATGTTCATAGGTATGTGCATTTATATCGAGGGCTTCAATTCAATTCCATTGATCAGCATATCTGTTTTTATGCCAGTATCATGCTGTTTTACTTACCTGATTTTTTTTTTTAATCTCTGTAGTACAAATTGAGGTCAGGGATGGTGATACCTCCAGCATTCTTTGATTTTTTTTTTTTTCAAATTCAGGATAGTTTTAGTGTGTGTGTGTGTGTGTGTGTGTTTCCCTATGAAGTGGAAAAGTATCCTATCAAGTTCTGTGAAGAACTGTATTGGAATTTTGATTGAATCTGTAGATTGCTTTTGCTAAGATGTCCATTTTTACTATATTCCCACCTATCCATAAGCAAGGTAGATCTTTCCACTTCTGATATCTTCAATTTCTTTCTTCAGTAATTGTCTTGAAGTTTTTATCATAAAAGTCTTTCACTTGCTTCGTTATTGCCACAAGATAGTTTATTCTTTTGAAGCTATTCTAAAGAGTATTGTTTCTCTGATTTCATTCTCAGTCCATTTGTCACTTGTAGATAGGAAGGCTAGTCATTTTTGTGTTGAGTCTGTATTCTGCTTCTTTGGCGAAAGTATTTATCAGCTGTAGAAATTTCCTGCTAGAATTTTTAGGCTCACTATTCTATCATATCATCTACAAATAAAGATATTTTTATTTTGACTGGTGGTCATAGTGGCTCACGCCCTTAAATCCCAGCAGAAAGAAGGCAGAGGCAGGCAGATCTCTGTGAGTTGAGGCCAGCCTGGTCTACAGAGTTAGTAGCAGGACAGTCAAGGCTACACAGAGAAATCCTGTCATGAAAAACAAAAAAAGAGACTTTGATTTCTTCTTTTCTATTTGTAGCCCCTTCTTTACCTCCTTCAGTTGTCTTAATTTAGCTAGGACTTCAAGTACTATATTGAAAAGGCATGGAGAGAGTAGCCAACTTTGTCTTGTTTAAAATTTTAGTGAAATTGCTTTGAGTTTATCTTCATTGGGCTTGCTTTATTATGTTCAAGTATGTTCCTTTTATCCCTCGGGACTTTTATTATAAAGGGGTGTTAGATTTTTTTCAAAAGCCTTTTCTGCATCTAATGAGATGATCATGTGGTTTTGTCTTTCGGCTTGTTTATATGGTAGATCACATTTTTCTAGTTGTGTGTGTTGAGTCATGTGTCACTAGGATGAAGCCTCTTTGATCCTGGTGGATGATCTTTTTCATGTAGTATTTGGTTAGCAAATATTTTATTTCATTTACATTTCTAAGAAATATTGGTCTGTAATACTCTTTTGCTTAGGTTTTTATGTAGTTTAGGTATCAGGGTAACTATGGCCTCATAAAACAAATTGGGAAATTTTCCTATAATTTGAGGAGCATCTGGTTAATTCTTGTAATTCTGGTAGAAAATTCTTTGCTAAAACCATCTTGACCTGGGATTTTTTTTTTTGGGGGGGGGGGGAGGTTGTTTGGGAGGCTAGTAATGACAGCTTCTATTTCACTGGGAGCTATTCATTCGTTTAAATTGCTTATCTGATCTTGATTTAACTTTGGTTGGTGTTATATATTGAGAAAATTATCCATTTCTTTAAGATTTTTCCAATTTATTGGAAAATTTTAAAAGTATGTCCTTATGATTCTTTACATTTCCTAGGTTTCTGTTTTTATGTCCCATTTTTCATATCTAATTTTGTTAATTTGGAACTTCGCTGTTTGCCTTTTAATTATTTCAGCTAAGGGTTTATCAAACTTACTAATTTTCTCAAAGAAACAACTTGTTCCAATGATTCTTTGTATTTTTATTTTTGTTGTTGTTTTGATTTAAGCCCTGAGCTTGATTATTTCTTCCCATATACTATTTTGGGTGTTATTTTTTCTTTTCTTTTCTTTTTTTTTTTTTTTCAAAATGAAACACTTTGTTTCAGCAAATCAGTCCAGAATGTCTGAAAAAGCACATTATCAGTTGGTTAGGGCAATAAGAGCCTCCACCACATTGCCCATGTGTTCCCGCAAGCTCCTTTCTGCAGCTGCTCGAGAGATCTCCATCTCTGTCATTATCAACTCCAGATCTTCCTTCTTGATAGTGACCTTCGCCAGTTCCTTCTCCCGCTCCTGTTTGGCCTTTTGTTCCCTGGACCTTCTGTCTCCAATGACTGACATAGCCGTCTCCAGATTCGAACTCTGGATCTCCTTCTCCTCCGCATAGTCAGTGACCCGCTCCAGGTCAGCAGCACCACTGTCATGCCTCCGTGGCTTCTCGGGAGGCCGCTCCGGGCCGCTGGTCTCGGTCTCTAACTCCAGCTCCACATCACCCTCGGTCGCCATTTCGATCTCACCGCGCCGCCGCATAGCGTTATTTTTTCTTTTTGCTCTAGATATACTGTTAAGTTACTAGTATGAGATCTTCCTTTTTTTTTTTTTTTTGGCACTTAGTGCTATAATTTTGCCTCTTTGAACAGCCTCACTGTGTCCCATAAGTTTGAGTATGTTGTGCTTTGATTTTCATTCAATTGTAGAATATTTTCAATTTCTTTCATAATTTTTCTCTTGCCCCGTTTTTCATGTATTAGTGAGTTGTTAAGTTCCCATGAGTTTGTGGACCTTCTGTTATTTCTGTTGTTGATATCCAGGTTTAACCTATCAGTGGCCAGATAGGATACAGGGAGTTATTTCAGTTTTCTTGTGCCTGTTGGAGACTTCTTTTGTGTCTGTGTTTGTAGTCAGTTTTGGAGAAAGTTCTGAGCTACTTGAGAGTAAGGCATATTTTTTTTTTCTTACCTCTGGGTGAAATACCTGATAGAAACAACCTTATGGGTAGAATTTATTTTGACCTACAGTTTCAGGGAGTTCAGCCCATGGTTGGCTCTATGTGTTTGGATACAACACCACGGTGGTGGGAGTGGGAGGAGAAGAGCTGCTCATCTCATGTAAACAAAAGGGCTGTGGATGCAATGCCCACTGGCACCCCCACCTCCCCCAGTAACCTCCCCCTCATCTTCTCCAACTTCCAAAACAGTGCCTCCATCTGGGAACCAAGAGTACAACACATGAGCCTGTGGGGTCATTTCATATCTAAGTCATAATTGTAACCATGGTTTTCCCCATTTCTCCTCTCTTACCTCCTGCTAACACCAGCTCCTCAGCATCTCTCTCTGTATGTACCTTAAGCCTTCCACTTTTTAAAATAACTTTAGCCTTTTGTAATTACAGTAGTTTTTCTCTGTGAGTCCTTCCAACATAAAAGCTTTGGATCCAACTACCTACCTACTAACTTCTCTTTATCCCACATTAGAACACTCTGTCTGCCTGCCTGCCTGCCTGTCTGTCTCTCTTGAGACAAGGACTCACTAGATATCCCTGGCTCTCCTAGCACTCAAAATGTAGATTTGGCTGGCCTCAAAGGCCTGTACCACCACACCTGGCCCACATAAGAACTGTGGATAACTACAACTGTCTGTCTCTGTGATTTTTTAAAGACAAGCCCCTCCCATCTCTCCCTTCCTCCCTCCCTCCCCTCTTTCCCTCCTCCGCTCAGTCCTTCCCTTCCTCCTTCCCCCCCTCCCTTCCTCCTTCCCTCTCTCTCTCTCCCTCCCTTCCTTCTTCCCTCCCTCTCTTCCTCATTTCCTTGCTCCATCCCTCTCAGACAGAGCAGACAAATGAACTGAGGAGGAGAGGCTGCATCACTGTACAGAATGCAATCATCAAGGGCAGCTTGCTTGACAAGGACAGAGGCTGTGCCTACAGAAGTTTTGCTAGAAAGGAACAGCAATTGTGACAGTCACTGAACTTGTGCTGTAGCTGCAATTCATTTATATTCCTGTTTCTTTGCCTAAGTATGAATCTTTAGAAGGCCAGGGCCAGCTCTTAGATTTTTGATAGCACTGCAAACTGCTTGGCACTTAGTAAGTTAAATTTTACTGAATGAATAAATGAATGAATTGATGAGTGACTCTTGATTCCCAAACTGGACTAGTTTCCTTGATAGACCCTTGAAATCGACAAATTATAGAACTTCCTTGTATTGTTTTTGTTTTGTTTTGAGACAGGGTCTCTCTGTGTAACTCTGGCTGTCCTGGACTTGCTCTGTAGACCAGGCTGGCCTTATACTCAGAGATCTGCTCCCTCTGCTTCCTGAATGCTGGGACTACAGGCGTGTGTTACCATCATGCAGCCCTTGGGTGTTGCTTTAAGAAATGTTTTGAACTAGGTCAAAGTGAACCTGAGCACAGTCCTGGTGCTTGGGATGCTGAAGTAGGAGGATCATGGTGAACTTGATGCCAGCCGGGGTTGAGAGTAAGACTCTGTCTCAGAAAATAAAATACAGGGGCCACAGAATGACTCAGTAAGCAAAGTGCTTACTCTGCGTCATTCCTGAACCCACGTGAGGGTGGCAGGAGATGACCGGCCCCACAGCATTATCCCCTGACCTCCACATGCCCATGGTGGCGTACTCACACCCAGAACACACTAAACAGTAAATAACTCCCGAAAAAGGAGAGGAAGGGAGAAGAAAAGATTGTCCAAAGGAGAATAAAGAACGCTAGCCAGGTGCTGAGGTGTGCTGTGTGCTGTGCTGTGTACTGTGCTGTGTGCTGAGCTGTGTGCTGTGTGCTGTGTACTGTGCTGTGTGCTGAGCTGTGTGCTGAGCTGTGCTGTGTGCTGTGCTGTGTGCTGTGCTGAGCTGTGTGCTGAGCTGTGTGCTGAGCTGTGTGCTGTGCTGTGTGCTGAGCTGTGTGCTGAGCTGTGTGCTGTGCTATGTGCTGTGCTGTGTGCTATGCTGTGCTGTGCTGTGTGCTGTGCTGTGTGCTGAGCTGTGTGCTGTGCTATGTGCTGTGCTGTGTGCTGTGCTGTGCTGTGCTGTGCTGTGTGCTGAGCTGTGTGCTGAGCTGTGTACTGTGCTGTGTGCTGAGCTGTGTACTGTGCTGTGTACTGTGCTGTGTGCTGTGCTGTGTGCTG